AGACAAATAAAATCATATAAGTATGATTTTACTTATATGCGGACTCTAAAAAACAAGGCAAACAAACAAAATAGAAACAGACTCACAGATACAGAGAACAAACTGATAACTGCTAGAGAGGAGAGGGTTTAAGGGACTGGGTGAAAAAAGTGAAGGGATTAAGAAGTACAAACTGGTAGTCACAACACAGTCATGGGGATGTAAAGTACAGCATAGAAAACACAGTCAATAATATTGTAATAGCTATGTATGGGGCCAGGTATGGGTACTTGCAGTATCAGGGGGATCACATTGTAAGTTACATGACTGTCAACAACTATGCTATACAACTGAAACTAATATAAAATAATATTGAATGTAAACTGCAATTGAAAAAAAAAAAGTTGAATTCCAGTCAAGATGGCAGTATAGGTAAACGTGGTATCCCCTCCTCCCACAACCACATCAAAATTACAACTAAACTACAACACAACCATCATTCAGAACTGCCTGAAATCCAGCTGAATGGAAGTCCTAGAACTACAAAATTAAAGAAGCCACATCAAGACTGATAGGAGGGGCAGAGGTGCAGACCAGCTGGTCCCACATCCACATGTGGCGCATAAAAATCAGGAGGATACCTTGGCTGGGAAGGTCCTCCCTGAGGAGTGAGGGGTCCCTGTCCCACACCAGGCCCCCAGCTCAGGGTTCCAGTGCCAGCAAGAGAAGTCCCCATAACAATGGCTGTAAAACAAGTTGAAACTGAGGCTGAGGGAGGCTGAGACTGCTGTAATCCCAGGAACTTCCTCTTAAAGGGTCCCCACAGACTTATTTGGACTCACTCCTTCTGGGCTCCAGCGTTGGGGAGGCAGCCTGAAAGGCACCAGAGACATGTGGGGAAGAACTGAGTTGTTTGGCATTGGGGCGAGAGCTGGAGGGGCAGCTTTCTCCTGGACAGACTTGCTGTGGGAGGCCATTGTTCCTTTAGTGAGCCCTTCCCTGGGGCAGTACACAGTAGCCATATCTGGGCCTCCAGCAACCTGGCTCACACTGTTTGCCCCACCCTGGTGATTCCCTGAGGCCCCACCCCACCCAATCTTCAGGCCCACCCAAGCTGTTTCCAATGGCTTTACCATAGGATTGGCCTGTCTTGGATCCTGCTTCAGAGTTTCCTAAAATCTCTCAAACAAGCCGCATCTGGTCTCAGCAAGCCCCATACCTCTTGTTAAGTGGCCCCAGGCCTGGCACTAAAAGCAGCCAGCCTTGGTTCACAACTTGGCTTTTCCTGGACACCTCCAAGCCCAGCACAAGAAATAGCATCTGCAGATCACTTTGTAGCTTATGCTGGGTGGCCCTGGATAGAACACAGGCAGTGGTTGACCTTGCCCAGAGCCAGCACACCCAGTGGACAGCTTTAGACCACATCAAAACACCACCACCCAAACACCTTCACAGATGGCACAATAAGTGGACTCAGTGAGTACCACAGCCCTGCTGAAGTAAGTCTTGCTCTGTATGTTGGGCCCCTACACCGCTGATCCTCCAAGGGAGTCAGAGGCCAGTGGCTAGTGGGCACAGCCAGTCTTTGCAGCTGATCAGCCTGAGTAAATCCCTCCCACTGTCATGCCAACAGCAATCAGCACTCAATTACAATAGAAGGGTATACGGTCCACACTAGGAGTGCACCTCGAGGACGCAGCTGGGGTGATCAGAGAGACTGTGCCACTGGATCCTACAGGACATCTACAACAATAGGCCACCCTACGAAGCCTAAGAGACATAGCTACTCTACTTAATACACAGAAACAATCACAGGGAAGCAGCCAAAATGAGGAGACAAAGAAACATGTCCCAAATGAAAGAAAAGAACAAAACTCCAGGAAAAGAACTAAACAAATGGAGATAAACAATGAATCAGATGCAGAGTTAAAAACACAGGTTACAATGTTGCTCAAGGAACTTGGTGAGACAGTCAAGGGACTTAGTGAGACCTTCAAGAAACTTAAGGAGACTTCCAAGGAACTTAGTGAGAACATCAACAACATAAAAAAGACCAGTCAGAAATGAAGGATGCACTAACTGAAATAAAGAACAATTTACAGGGAATCAATAGTAGAGTAGGTAAAGCCAAGAAGCAAACCATTGATTTGGAATATAAGGAAGCAGAAAACACCCAATCAGAACAGCAAAAAGAAAAAAGAATCCAAAAAAATAAGAATAATGTAAGGAGCCTCTGGGACAACTTCAAGTGTGCCAACGTTCGCATCATAGGGGTGCCAGAAGGAGAAGAGAGCAAGAAATTGAGAACCTATTTGAAACAATAATGACAGAAAACTTCCCTAACTTGGTAAAGGAAACAGACAAACAAGTCCAAGAAGCACAGAGTCCCAAACAAGTTGAACCCAAAGAGGTCCACACCAAGACACATCATCATCAAAATGCCAAAGGTTAAATACAAGGAGAGAATCTTAAAAGCAGCAAGAGCAAGGCAGTTAGTTACCTAAAAGGGAGCTCCCATAAGACTGTCAGCCGATTTCTCAAAAGAAACTTTGCAGGCCAGAAAGGAGTGGCAAGAGATATTCAACGTGATGAAAAGCAATGACCTACAACCAAGAAAACTCTACCCTGCAAAGCTATCATTTAGAATTGATGGACATATCAAGAGTTTCCCAGACAAGAAAAAGCTAAAGGAGTTCATCACCACCAAACCAGTATTATATGAAATGTTGAAGAGTCTTCTTGAAGGAGAAGAACAAAAATATGAACAATAAAAGGGCAATTAATACATATCTATCAACAATTGAATCTACAAATAAAATGAGCAAACAGAACAAAAGAGACTCATAGATACAGATAACTTTTTGTTGCTTGCCAAATGGGAGAGGGCTAGGGGGGTGGGGTGGGTGAAAAAAGATGAAGGAATTAAGAAGTATGAATTGGTTGTGATGAACCTCAAAGGGAAGGGGGAAGGGAGGGCAGGATGAGCTAAACCAAAGAACTTCTATGCATATGTGCATAACCAATGGACTCCGACAATAGTGTGGGGAAGGCAGGACAGGGGCAGAATTGGGAAGGAGGGGGTCAACGGGGGGAAAAAAAAGAAACATCTGTCATACATTCAATAATAAAGATGAGTTTTAAAAAAATGCCAAAGGTTAAAGACAAAGAGAGAATCTAAAAAGCAGCTAGAGAAAAGTGGTCCGTTACCTACAAAGGAGCTCCCATGAACAATAAATATGACAATAAATACATATCTATCAACAATTGAGTCTACAAACAAAATGAGCAAGCAGAACAGACTCATAGATACAGAGAAGATTTTGTTGCTTGCCAAACAGGAGCGAGCTGGTGGGGGATGGGTGAAAAAGTTGAAGGAATTAAGAAGTACAAATTGGTTATTAGACTGATGAACCCCAAAGCGAAGGGGGGGAGGAGGGCAGGAAGAGATAAACCAAACAACTTCTATGCATATATGCATAACCAATGGACACAAACAACAGTGTGGAGAAGGCAGGAGGGGGGCAGGATTGGGGAGAAGGGGGTCAATGGGGGGAAAGGGGGGGACACATCTGTAATCAAATAGGTTCTCAACAATAAAGATGAGTTTTAAAAAAAGTACGCCCAGCCCTGGCCGGTTTGGCTCAGCGGTTAGAGCGTTGGCCTGCGGTCCGGAGAGACCTGGGTTTGGTTCCCACTAAGGGTGCGTACCTCGGTTGCAGTTTGTCCCCGGCCCTGGTTGGTCGTGCGGGTGGCAGCCACTCAATGTGTCCCTTTCACGTCGATGTTTCTCTCTCTCCCTCCCACTCTATCTGAACAAAAAATGGAAAAATGTCCTTGGGTGAGGGAAAAAAAAAAAAAAAAAAGTACGCCCAGCCGGTGTGGCTGTGGTAGAGCGTCAATCCATGCACCAAGAGGTCACTGGTTTGATTCCCAGTCAGGGAACATGACCACATTGTGGGCCCAATCCCCAGTGCAGGGCATGCAAGAGGCAGCCAATTGATGCTCTCTCTCATCGATGTTTCTATCTCTCTCTCCCTCTCCCTTCCTTTCTCTCTAAAATCAATATAGAAAAGGAAAAGAAGAAAGTATGAGTGTTAAACCCAAGTAACCTTTATAGATAGATCATAATATAATCAATATCTCAAATTGCTCCTTTTTCTCTATAAAATCAGAATCAACCAACCATTTAAATATTTACTGAACACCTATTATATGCCAAGGTACTATGCTAGGCACCGGAGTGATAGCAGTCCCTGCCATTGAAAAGTTTACAATCTAGTGGGACTGACAGATTAATCAAATGTACATGGAATATAACTGTGCTACAAAGGCACAAAATAGGAGGATATGACAGGAAAATCAGGAAGGATGAGTAGATCATGAATGACTGTGTGTGCTGGGAGTGGCAAGGAGGGAAGACTATTTTGGATAAATAGAGTAGTATGTGCAGTTGTCCTCTAGTAGGAGAGAGCAGGATGTGTCTGCAGTAAGGAAAAGTTAATATGGCTAGAGCTGAGAATAAGGGGGGCATGGTATGAAATGAGGATGGTGGCAGAGCCAAATGTGCAGAGCCCTACAGCCGTGCTAAGGATTATGGTCTTTATCCTAAAAGCAATGGAAAGTTTGAAGCAGGTTACTGTAGTGTGAGGAACAGATTTGGAGAGTTGGAGAGGGTGAGTGGAATCAGTTAAGAGGCTATTATAGAAGTCCAAGGAAGAGATAATAGTAACTTGATCATGACAGTGGTGAAGAGAAAAGGTCGGATTTGAGATTCAGTAGGAATTCAAATGGACAGGTTCTGCTGATAGATTTCATGTAGGAAAGGAGAACTTTCCTAAGGTTTCCAGCTTGGACAACTGGATAGATGTCAGAACCACTTATAGAGAAAGGGAACCTGGAGGAGGGACAGGTTTGGAAAGGGAAGATCATGAGTTCAATATATTAAATATAGCCATGGATTATGGAGATTTGCTACTTTAGTCCCCAAAGGCAAGAAGGCAGAAAGGAAAAGGAAGTTTTACCTTGATATCAGCTCTGAGCTCAACCAATTGCTCCTCTGACATTCGAACGGCCACTTCAGTCATCTTCTTCAGAAGTTCAGCTTTCTTTTGTCGGCTGAGCAAAATTTCCACTGTAGAAGAAAAAGGAGTATAATTCTTATGTTCTACTCAATAAGATAAAGAAGAACTGAAGTATAGGCCTGGCAGTACATATCTGGAGAGCCAAAGGCTTAGCTGCCCACCCATCTAGAAAATGAAAATACCAAGGGTCCAGTTTTCACCTTCCTGAGGGACTCTAAAGTCAGTTAAAAGGTAAATACTTTATGAAATAAAAAAACACATAAATCATGTCATTTCTCTTTTTTCTCTTACCAGAAAAAGACATTTTTTATCAAGGAGCATATCAATTAATGTCCTGGCCAGTGTGGTTCAGTTGGTTGGGCATCATCCCATGCATGGAAAGGCTGCTGGTTCGGTTCCCAGTCAAGGTACATACCCAGGTTGTAGGCTTGATCCCGGTGGGGGGTGCGCAGGAGGCAGCTGATGAATGTTTTGCTCTCATATTGATGTTTCTCTCTCTCTCTTTCCCTTTCTCCCTCTAAAAGTCCATTAAAAATTTTTTTTAAAGAAGCATATAAATTAAAACAAAAATACACACACGGTAAAAAAAAAAAAAGACTTATCTAGAATGAGTATGAAATGAGAGTAAGTGTCCCCTCCTACTTCTGATGTTGTGGTCCTCTCCCCAGAGGAAACTACTGTTAATTTTTTCTTTTTTTCATTATTGATTTTAGAGAAATAGGAAGGGAGAGGGAGAGAGAGATAGAAACATTGATGAGAGAGAACACTTATTGGCTGCCTCCTGCATGCCCCACATGGGAATTGGGCCCACAACCTGGGCATGTGCCCTGACCGGGAATTGAACTGGAGACCTCTTGGTGCAAGGGTCGACACTCAACCACTGAGCCACACTGGCTGGACTGTTAATTTCTTATGCATACTTCCAAATATATTCTATGCATATATAACATCTCTCTCCCCCTTTTCTCCCTCCTCACACATGGGAATGTATCATATACATGGTCCTTCCTTTACCTTACCTATTTTTACTTAATATATCTTGAGGTTCAATTCCTATTAATACACTGGATCTCTCTCACTGTTTAACAGCCACTTAATATTCCATTATATAGATATACCACAATTATTTACCAAGTTCCCTAATGATGGATATTTAGGTCATTTACAGTCTGTTAAGAAGCATCTTCTGCCCTAGCTGGTTTGGCTCAGCGGTTAGAGCATTGGCCTGTGGTCTGGAGAGACCCAGGTTTAGTTCTCGCTAAGGGCATGTACCTCGGTTGCAGTTTGTCCCCATCCCTGGCAGCCACTCGATGTATCCCTTTCACATTGATGTTTCTCTCTATCTTCCTCTCTCTCCTTCCCGCTCTATCTGAACAAAAAATGGAAAAATGTCCTCGGGTAAGGATTAAAAAACAAAAAAACCAGCATCTTCTTTGGCATGGTCCCAGATGTATAACTTAGATATGACTGAAAAACAACAAGCAAACAAACAAAAAATCTCTCAGAGTAGAGAGCAGGGGCTACAGAGGGCATGGGCAAAAGAAGTTCTCCTAGGAAGCAGAACTATAGGGGTTGCCAGATGAACCAAGGAAATTTCTTTCTCCAGAGCAGGGACTCTGCTATTCCTGTCCAATAAGATTTGATCATTGCTTTTCCAAGTGGGAATTTTTATTATAATTATCTTCTTTCTCTATCAGTGTAATATTGTAGGGCATTTAACTTTTCTTTCAGATTATGGGGCCCCACACTACAGTGTGCCATGTCTAGACCTATTGAAAGAAAGATCTGAAATTCCCCAGAAGTCCTGAATTGTCAACTGAATATACTAACTAGATGAGACAGACTTTGGAGGAGATGCCATTGAGGAGGCGGCGAGTGTATTCTCATTTTGGGAAAAAGGGATATTGCAGGGTGGACTGCAGCAAAGACTGTTAGTGACTGCACATCCATTCTCTTCTTCTTCCTACCAGAAGTCCAATGTTGTTGGGTATGAACCTGCTTAGGTAAAACTCTACATTTCCTGATTCTGCTGCAGATAAGACAGTCATGTGATACAGTTTGGCCATTGAGATCTAAACAGAACTCATAGGGTGAGGTTTATAGGGAAGCTCTTTAAAGGAGTTTTAGTCAGCATGTAACATTTTGCCCCTCCTTAACTGGAGCCTCTTTGACCATAAACACATTCTAAGGATGGCTGGGTAGAAGGATAGAGAAAGTTGGGTCCCTCTTGTCATTTTGGAGATGTCCTTCAGCCCTGAATCACTCTGGACCTTTCATTTTATGAGAGAAAAATAAACTCACATTATTTAGGCCACTCTGTTAAACTCAATTCCTAACTGTTATAGACAGAATCCTTTAATATACTGAGAAATTAGCCAAATTTATTTGAGAAAAAATAGAATTTTCAAAGAGCTACATCAGGTATTACAGAGCTGAACCTCTTTGGCAAGTTAAAAAACATTTTTTTCTTTACTGATTTTAGAGAGAGAAGAAAGGAAAGGGAGAGAGAGATGAAAACACTGATGAGAGAGAACATTAATTGGCTGCCTCCTGCATGCACCCCACTGAGGATTTGGCCCACAATCTGGGCATGTGTCCAGACCAGGAACCAAACTAGCGACCTCTTGGTGCACGGCGAGACGCTTGACCACTGAGCCACGCTGGCTGGGCTTAGCAAGTTTTCTTAACCTGACTGTCACATATATGCCACCCACAGGCTGCCCATACCAATGTCATGTTAATCAGTAAGGGCATACTTTCCTAATAAAAGGAACGTGACTACAAACACCAAGGCCCAAAAGCTACAAATGAGCTATTGGTCTGGTTCCCAAGATAAAACCTACTTGCTATTTTTATCAAATTCACTTTCTCTTAGCTCCAGTATTCTAGGATTCTAAGATGGAGAAAATGTATGTAGTCAAGATTTCTACACATATCAGATAAACTCAGAGAACCTAATTTAATTATATGCCTTTGAACAAGTTACATTTTTTCCGAATAACTAGTTTCATTTATGAAATGGGAAAAAGGAAACCCTAACTACCTCATAAAGTTGATATAAAGATCATATGAGTAAAAAAACTCTGAATTGGGAAGTACTATGAACATATAAAGTAATAAAACTATAATGTAGTTTTTTCTTTTTAATTTATTTTATTATTATTTGTAATCCTCACCCAAGGATATTTTTCCATTGATTTTTTTTTTTAATCCTCACCCGAGGACATTTTTTTCCGTTTTTTGCACAGATAGAGTGGGAGGGAGAGAGAGAGAGAGAGAAACATCGACGCGAAAGGGACACATCGAGTGGCTGCCACCCGCACGACCAACCAGGGGACCAACCAGGGCCGGGGACAAACTGCAACCGAGGTACATGCCCTTAGCGGGAACCAAACCCGGGTCTCTCGGGACCGCAGGCCGATGCTCTAACCGCTGAGCCAAACCGGCCAGGGCGATTTTTTTTTTTTTTTTTTTTTAAGATAGAGTGGGAGGGAGGGAGGAAGAGAGAGAGAAATATCGATGTGAGAGAGACACATTAATTGGTTACCTCCCAAACCACCCCGACTGGGGCCAGGGAATCGAACCCACAACTGAGGCACATGCCCTTGACCAGGAATTAAACCCTCGACTCTTTGGTCTGTGGGCCAACACACCAACCCACCAGGGCTATCTGTAGTTTTTAAAAAGTAGCACCTTCTTGAAAGTGTTGGTAAATGAGTAATTATATGAGTGTAACTGAAACAAGGATTTTTAGCATAGGAGAAAGGAGACACAGATATAAAATTGATGAAGTTCAGTAAAACTGTAGTTCTGAATTTGATAAAATAAGATTGTCCATGAATTGATAAGTGGCTGAAGATGGGTGATGGGGGTTAATTATATTAGCCTCTCTATTTGAAGTATGTTAAAATTAAGGGCTATGTCTTCTTACTAGATTTATGTTATCTGAACCTTCATCATCAAAAAGAACATGTAGTTAAATAAATGGACTAGTAAAACTTACAAATTTAGAAATTTCAGGATATACCCCATTCAACTGAAATGAAATCTTACCTCTGAAAAATAGTGGGTAACATCTCTGCTATGTATTAAAACTTTCAGGTAAAAATAGATCAAAACTGCCCTGGCCAGTTTGGCTCAGTGGTTAGAGCGTCGGCCTGTGGTCCAGAGAGACCCGGGTTTGGTTCCCACTAAGGGCATGTACTTCAGTTGCAGTTTATCCCCGGCCCTGGTTGGGTCGTGCAGGTGACAGCCATTCGATGTGTCCCTTTCACATTGATGTTTCGCTCTCTCTCTCGCTCTTCCTCTCTCTTCCTCCCACTCTATCTGAACAAAAAATGAAAAAACGTCCTCAGGTGAGGATAGAAAAAAAATAGATCAAAACTAAATTCAGCTCAGTGCTTCAAAGTTGCCTCCTCTGGCCCACGACCATAGAAACAAATAATTTAATTGTGAGGCATCATCTTAACCTATTTACATTTTCACCAGTTTAAGAGCAGGTTAAAAAGAAACAACCCCTCAATTACAAATCTGGGCATTCAATGCATGAAAATAAAACATGGTGCTGAAAAGCCTCAAATTAATCCTGATGTATAAGATGCATTTGACATTTCCTTCTTCTTATATAGTTATTTTCCTTTAACTTATACTTATAGAAATTACCAAAAACAGGTAACCTATTCTTATGTATAAAACTCTATTCCTCAAGAATCTAGTTTAGCCCTGGCTGGTGTGGCTCAGCGGTTAGAGTGTTGGCCCAAGGTCCAAAGAGTCTTGGGTTCGATTCCGGGTAAGGGCATGTACCTTGGTTGTGTTTCGGTCTTGACCCTGGTCGCAGTCGTGTGGGAGGCAACCTGACAATGTGTCTCTCTCACATTGATGTTTCTTTCTCTCTCTCTCCCTTCCACTCTATCTATAAATGGAAAAATATCCTCGGGTGAGGATTAAAAAAAAAACCAAGAAACTATTTTACTAAGGTTTCAAGGAACTCTAGTCTATATCCAAAATACTAAAATATGGAAATATTTTTTAAAAAGGCTCTTGTCAAGTTGTTTTGATTGAAAAAATTCATACACCAGTGCAGTACAAATGTTCAAGATTGTTTAACTAAATATATAAAATCTTGTTGTGGTATTTATATTGAGCTTTAACTATAGGGGTTGAGAGGCAGGTATCTACTAACTGGTAATAGCTTTAATTAAAGATCAATCTTACTTGCTTCAGCTTTCACTTTGTCCATTTCAGCAAGCAATGTCACTTCTCGATCCATTAAACTAAGAAGAAATGACACAGGAAAAAAAAAAGATTTGATCAGAAACTCGTAACAGAGAAACAGCACATTGTAATAGTGGAAAAAAGACTTATGGAGTTTGTTCACTAAAAGCATACTACAAAGTAAACATTGCATGAACCACAAGGAAATTCTGTGTTACCCTCAGTAAAGAGTATTTTAAGGATTCTAATAAACAGATCTCATTCCCTTTTATTTCTATATATTACAGTAGACCAGTAGATGGCAGTAGCAAGTTTTCAAACACATTTCTTGGTACATTGTGCTTAAAGCAAAAGCCCTTATGGAAATTACGTATTTCCACATATGTACTCACATATTTTTATTTTGTATTGTGGTCTAAAAAGCTGGACAGCTTTGCTTCTAATGAATTTACCAGGCAGTACCCCTTCTGGGCCACGGTAAATTTATCCATGATTAGGATTTGTATACCTTCAACATTTTGCCACAGCTGCGCTAAGTCTACCTGCACTTTAGCTTTTAGAATGAGGGTAGTCAAATTTGTGCTGGTTTTGGGTAAAAATTTATTAGTAATCCAGAAAATACAGAATCAAGGGTTTCTGGTAGGCTTTTTACAGAAAAAGAACATTAAATGGATAATTAGCACTTTCTCCGTTGCAAACGTAAATGGCATGTACAGCTGTTCCACTTCTTTATAAAAGGGCCCAGATAGTAGGCTACCTTAGTATTCAAACTCTGGATGCAAATAATTTTCCTTACCATATCAATTTTGTTTAGTGGTGGAAAAAAAAATCTAAAATTTTAATACCTACACAATCATAAAATGTTCCAACTTTCTTCAAATTTGGAATTCATTCTGATTTCTCCTTTTGAATGGGAAATAAAGGGTCAATAAAAGTTCTACTCTTGTTTCTTGTTGTAAAACCAATCATACACACACATATATACTAATTCAATTTAGCTCAATATGTAATTATGTTAGCACAAAGTTAATATGGAGACTACAGTGTGAGCTATACAAAAAAGTATAAGACAGGGCATTTCTTCAAGGAGCAAAATCCTTTATAGTGAAGTGCCAGAGAACATAGGTTTGATAATCATTATGCATGAAGTTAATAAATAGAGTTGTAATGGAACAAATGTGGTTGGCATATTAATCCAAAAGCACCAGACTGGACAGAAGATACAACTACTGTGGGGTAGCAATATTTGTTAGGAAAGCATTTCCCAAACCTTGGCAATATTTTGCTCCAAGAACTCTAGCAGCATTTGGAATACCTAAAAGGCAAAACAAAAGCACAACTGAGACAGGAGCTGCTGGGCCTGGAGTTGGACATTACTTCTCTTCTGTTGCTGAATCACCTACGTTGCAGATATTGTGTCCACCAAATGACATACTTATCTCTGACAAAGCTTCTAAACTACTTATTAGAAGACTTAAGCAAACAAGTAAGCTTTCTGTAGCTTATATATTTAAGTTAATAATAAACATAACAATCTTTATTATGAAAAGTAGACTGTCATATGACCTTGCTTTTAGCAAGAAAAATTAAAATAAATTTGGCATTATCACAATCAGACTTTTTTGTGGCATTATGAGCTAAGTAATTGCAAGGGCACATTTATTTTCTCCCTAAGAGGAGCATCAATTTAAATAAACTTTGTTGCACCCTGGCAAGTTTGGCTCAGCGGTTGGAGCATTGACCTGTGGACCAGAGAGTCCTGAGTTTGGTTCCCGCTAGGGGCACATACCAAAAAAATAAAATAAAAATAAATAAATAAACTTTGTTGCTTGATTGACTCATTGGTGATCATAAGAAATTCATAGGGCATGGCATGTACAACCATACAACCACTCCATTAAAAAAATTAGTTCAGCCCTGGCTGATGTGGCTCAGTTGGTTGGAGCTTTGTCCCATACACTAAAAGGTTGTGGGTTTGATTACCAGTCAGGACACATACCTGGGTTTCGGGTTCGGTCCCTGGTTGGGGCATATATGAGAGGCAACCAATTAATGTTTCTCATATGGATGTTTCTCTCTCTCAAATCAATAAACATATCCTCGAGTGAGGATTAAAAAAATTAGTTTACATTTTTGTCAAACAATATCGACAAGCCCTGGCCGGTTTGGCTCAGCGGTTAGAGCATCAGCCCGAAAACCAGAGAGGCCCCGGTTCAGTTCCTGCTAGGGGCACGTGCCTCGGCTGCAGTTTGTCCCAGCCCTGGTTGGGGTCGTGTGGGTGGCAACCACTCGATGTGTCTCTCTCTGTCTCTCCCGCTTCGATGTTTCTCTCTCTTCCACCCTCTCTCCCTCCTGCTCTATCTGAATATGGATGCAAAAATGTCCTTAGGTGAGGATAAAACAAAAAAATCGACAAAAAGTAAGCACTTCTATTTCTTTGTTTTCATGTTGCTATCTACTGATAACATCTATTGAAAGGTCTTGTGATATCATCCAAGTATTAAATAGGGGCATCTACTGGTTAATTAAACTGTTTAGATATTTTCTCAGAGAAAAGCTTGATGAATATTTGCAAATTTCCATTAAATTTTTCAGTCTTTAAAATACAAAAATGAATAAATGTTAAAATACATGTAGTGTAAGTGCTCGGTGTTAAGCTTTTGGTTGCTGAGATGTTTATTTCAAAGACATCCATCTCTAATAAACACACTGCCAACTATACAACTAGATTAAAAAGCCAGGTTTCCCCACCCATGAAGTTCTTCCCCTTTTAGAAAGCCTGGGTGACCTAGATGACTGACCACTTGAATGACCCTGCTTTTCCTATCTGCACTTTAATTCCCACTCTTGTTTTTTTTTAAATCCTCACTCGAGGATATTTTTCCCACTGATTTTATTTATTTATTTATTTATTTATTTATTTATTTATTTATTTTTAATCCTCACCTGGGGACACTTTTCCATTTTTTGTTCAGATAGAGTGGGAGGGAGGGAGAGGGAGAGAGAGAGAAACATCGATGTGAAGGGACACATCGAGTGGCTGCCACCCGCACGACCAACCAGGGCCGGGGACAAACTGCAACCGAGGTACACGCCCTTAGCGGGAACCAAACCGGCCAGGGCCCCACTGATTTTTTTTTTTTAGATAGAGTAGGAGGGAGGGAGAGGGGGGGGGAGGGAGGGAGGAAGACTGAAAGAGAAAGAGAGAAACACTGACATGAGAGAGACATCAATTGGTTGCCTCCTGCATGACCCTGACCAGACTAGGGATCAAACCCTCAACTCTGGTCCTCGGACCAACGCTCTAACTGCTGAGTCAAACTGGCCAGGGCTCCCACTCTTATGTTTTAAATTCACCAATAAAGAGTGAACTTGCAAAACATGAGCACCCCACACTTGACTCCAATAAAGGAAGAATCCTAGGCATTCCCTCCCTCTCTTTCTGCAACCTTACTGTATGCCCCCAAGAATGCCCATATCCTCCAGAACCTGTGAATAATAAATCTTGTTTTTGCAAAATTCCTGGATGTTGTTGCTGAGAGGTATCTTGCAATCATAAGAACCACAAGGACCAGTCAAGTCACAACATTGGTTCAGTTGGGGTATAAGGCCCAGGTGAGTGTTCCCAGGCATTCCTAGCTAATAGCATCACTATTGATAGGCTGAGACCAACACAAAACATATGTAGCTTTCTTATTAAAAGTGTATCACATAATGTATTATGGTTGTGTAGAACAACCATATTCTAAGGTCATTCATACTAAAGCATTTTGGGGGGACATGTCATGTCTGCAACTTCTAAATGGTTCCATCAAAACACACACACACACACACACACACAGAGTAAATACACTGATCACTGTACTATCTTTTAACTTTTCTATTTCTTGAAAGTTTTCATAATAAAATGGGGAACTAGTGCTCGCTTTGGCAGCATATATACTAAAATTGGAACAATACAGAGAAGATTAGCATGGCCCCTGTGCAAGGATGACACGCAAATTCGTGAAGCATTCCATATTAAAAATAAATAAATAAATAAATAAATAAATAAATAAATAAAATAAAATGGGGAACTATGTGCATTACAAAATAAATAGAGAAGGGAAGAAGAGTTCAAAAGTGGAAAGTAGGCTAAGCATAAGGACAAATAGTAGAGGCTTTTTTTTTTTTTTTTTTTTAGTAGAGGCATTTTTTACAATTAAAAACAATAGCCTTGCCAGTGTGGCTTGGTGGCTTGAGAGCTGTTCCATGAACTAAGAGGTCCTGGTTCAATTCGTTCTCTCTCTCTCTCCCTTCCTTTCTCTCTAAAATATCAATGAAAACTCATTTAAAACAAAAGAATAATAATTTACTATAATACAACTAACAAGAAAGGAAGTTAAGTTAAAGTTTTCCATCTGTTCCAAAGCTAAACGGTGGTTCCAGTATGGATCTGTGGCCAAAAGATGCAAAAGTACCTGTACTTTAAGGTATTAGTTTTTTTTTTAATCTTTATTATTTCAAGTATTACAGATGTCCCTGAGGTAACAGTTTTTAATTTATTTATTTATTGCTTTTAGAGAGAGATAGGGAGGGAGGGAGGAGGAGGAGGGGGAGGAGAAGGTAGAGGAGGAGGATGAGAGAGAGAGAGAGAGAAATTAATTTGTTGTTCCACTTATTTATGCATTCCTTCACTGATTCTTATATGTGCCCTGACCAGGGATCAAAACTGAAACCTTGGTATATCAAGATGATGCTCTAACCAACTGAGCTACCAGGCCAGGGTGAGGTAAGTTTTTAGATGCCATACATGCAAGTAGCAACTCAGAGAGTGATGAAAGGCTCAGACTGTCACACTTTCCGTTTTGCTCACTCCAATGCATGAGGGCACTAAGCTTGCAGCTGTTCTCTTAAGGCTTTTCTGAATGGAAATACCATAATAAGCATCTGATATACTAGATTCTGAAACAGCTAGTGAAATTCAACTAAATATTGCTGGAACTCTATTTAGAAAGACATTAGGTCTCATTAAGCCTGGGATTTACAGTGTAGAGAATTTCCACATCTTTTCTTCAAT